TAGTCTCAAGACTTCTCCAACTATACAGCACTGATAATAAAACTTCTAGGTTAATGGTGAAAAGATTCTCCACCGTGAGAGACAACCAGAGAGGTTCACAGAGTTACATGAAGAATAGGAGAGGGAGGAAGGAGATAGAGGTGATCAGGAGGAGAAAAAGGGGACTCAAGAGGAGAGAGACAGATCTACGCAGTTATCTGTTCCCAAAGTGTTCTCCGTAGCCCAGACACCCACAAAGATTCACAGAGTTGGATTGGGAAGAGAAGGGGAAAGGAGGAAATAGAGGTGTTCCGAGGTAGAAAACAGAGAGTCAAAAGTGGGAGAGTAATCACCACACTCCTGAATAGAAATGGGAACTGAATATTGGATTCTTAAATGACCAAAATTTATATCACCTACTACTGAAAAACAAAGATTAAAAATCTAGTGTAGAGGTTAGACTCTTTGAAATACAATATTTAAAAACAAAAACAAAAAAAAAATTTAGAAATGTATATGAAGTTTGATTTAAAAATAGGGTTTCTCTCTCTCTCTTTTTTTTTTTTTTGGCAAGGTTATAGTGAAATGAAAATGAAAATTAAGGAATAATAGAGGAGTATTAGAGGACTTTAAAATAGGAGAGAAAAACAAGAAAAAGAAAAAAAAAGAAAAAAAAATTTTTTTTTCCCCTAATTAAAAAAATCGTAAAAATATATGAAAATGAAAGTTGAGGAGTAATGGGGGAGTAATAGGGAATTTTAAAAGAAAATAAAAGAGAAAAAATTAAAAAAAAAAAAGAAAAAAAAATTTTTTTTTAAATTAAAAAAATATATATATATATATCTAGGAATTTCTCTGGAGTTGTTGCAGTCAGCGTAGGTTCAGTTCAATTTCAGATAGCTCCTCTTTCCAGCTTACACTTCTCGATATCTGTAGGCCCCTTCTGGTGTAGTCGGTGTTACCTTCAGGGATTTTAATCTGTTGCACCGGTCCTTTCTGAAGCGGTTCCCTTTGTTTATTTGGCTTCTGTTTGCCGTCTCTTTGGTGTCTAATTTCCGCCCTGACACAGGCGGGTGGAGGTGATCTCTTATTTAGGTTCGCTAGTTCAGTTCAGTCCTGCTACGGGGAGGGCGGGGCGCTGCAGACAGACACCGCTCTGTGTGGATAGCACTCACCGTGTTCCGGTCACACTGGGTTTGCCCCGCTCACGGGTGTCAGTGCTTTTGCCGTCTACACTGCTCAGGCTCCCGGCTGCTCTATATGGAGCGGGCCCTGCGTTGAGTGCGGTTCCAGATTTCGGGTACTCCACAAAAGCGCAGATTCGGTTGCGCCTGCGTTTTGTGCCTTCCCCGGCCTGAGCGGTTCAGGCAGCCAGAGGCTTGGGCGTACTCTCCGCAGGTGCGGCGCGCCTTTTCCCTCCGCGGCGAGCGGCCCAGGCAGCCAGAGGCTTGGGCGCACTCTCCCCGGGTGCGGCGCGCCTTTTCCCTCCGCGGCGGGCAGCCCAGGCAGCCAGAGGCTTGGGCGCACTCTCCCCGGAGGTGGCGCGCCTTTTCCCTCCGCGTCGAGCGGCTCAGGCAGCCAGAGGCTTGGGCGCAATCTCCCCCGGTACGGCGCGCTTTTTCCCTCCGCGGCCCCAGTGCGCGCCGCCAGTCGGGTCTCAGGAAGTCTTTAGATAGGAACCGGGGGCCTGTTTGCAGTGTGGGAGGGGGTGGCTTCTCAGGGGCTGAGTTTGCCCTTTTCCCCTACCCCCTGCCTCCAACCTCCAGCGGGGATGGGCCGGCTCTTCTCTGGACTTTCTCAGTCCTTTTGTTTTGCGAACCGCCGGCAGTGTGTTCGGGCCCTAAGCAATGCCGCCCGCTCCTCTCCGTCCCGCCCCCGCTTGTTGCTGGAGGGTACGGGCGTCTGGGGTACTTTTCTGCTGGGAGTTGCTTTTAGGCACGTAATCTGTGGGCCTTGTTTAATTTTTCCTCCCAGTTAGATTGCCGAAAACTTCCCCCAGTCCCGCCAGTGCGAGGGTTTCCTGGTGATTGGAAACTTCCTCTATTAAGACTCCCTTCCCGGGACGGGTCTCCGTCCGTAGCTCTTTTGACTCCCTTTTTATCTTTTATATTTTGTCCTACCTCCCTTCGAAGACAATGGGCTGCTTTTCTGGGCGCCTGATGTCCTCTGCTAGCGATCAGAAGTTGTTTTGTGCAATTTGCTCAGCATTCAAATGGTCTTTCAATGAATTTGTAGGAGAGAAAGTGGTCTCCCCGTCCTATTCCTCCGCCATCTTGGCTCCTCGTCGTATTGCTCCAGTTTCAACCCCAAATCCTGTTACCAACTTGGGCTTCGGGAAAGTTACTTGACCTCTCTCTGCCTCAGTTTCTTCTTCAAAAGAATGAGGATGATGAAATAGTACCTCTATCAAAGGGTTGGTAATGAGGATTAAATGCATTAAGATTTGTAAAGTGTTTAGAATAGAGTCAGACACAGGGCAATATCTGTTAAAATTTTTTAAAAAAGTAATTTTGTCTGTTCCTTCATGTGATGTGATCTGTAGTGTTAGACAGATTTTCTAGGACCTGCTAATTGGAATCACATTTTTAGCTTAAATACTTGGCACCTTCAGTTCAAAACTGAAGTAGAAATTACACTCTATGTCTATTTCCAAGAAGTCTTCAATGAAAGGGATTTCTTAGGTAAACACTTGGAGCTGCTAATGGGTCTACTGGGGTGGTCAGGACTCTCTTTGAAATTTTGATGACTTTCAGACATGCAGATCATGGAATCTGCTTTGAAGTTTTGGTGGCTCAGCTAGATATGCAAATCCAGAACTAGCTTTGAGCAAGAAATTTGAGGTTTATGCCTGTTCTTGAATGAGGAGTGAGCCAGAAGTTGCAGCAGTGAGAAAGCAAGTTAGTGACCTAGGAAAGGTTCTGTGTGGCTCCAAGCAGCTCTGTGTAAAGCCTTTAGGCAGACTTTCCACCTATTAGTGCTGTGCCAAGGGTCAGGAGTGTTGGAGGCTGGATTGACATCCCTTTGGTACCTGTTCCACCCCCTGTCCATTGATGGGATACTTGCTGTGCTGTGCTAAGTCAGTCATGTCCGACTCTGCAACCCCGTGGACTGTAGCCCACCAGGTTCCTCTGTCCATTGGGATTCTCCAGGCAAGAATACTAGAGTGGGCTGCTATGTCCTCCTCCAGGGGATCATCCCAACCCAGGGATCGAACCCAGGTCTCCCGCATTGCAGGCAGATTCTTTACCATCTGAGCCACCAGGGAAGCCCATGAGTACTGAAGTGGGTAGCCTATCCCTTCTGCAGGAGAACTTCCTGACCCAGGAATCAAACCGGAGTATCTAGCATTACAGGCAGATTTTTTACCAGCTGAGCTATCAGGGAAGCCCAAAAGGGCATGTTGCCTCCCCATCAGGGAATCGAACCCTGGTCTCCCACTTGACAGGAGGGGATACTCATCACCACTAAAGGTGGTGGGCTACTTGCTAGTACAGCCCCAGATTGCCGTTAGCAGTCTCTGCAACACTAACGACCCTCCTTCTAGGATGAAGGATTCCCCTGGTAGAGAGCCGCCATGCCGGCACTTCATACGACGGATGTAGTTCCACAGCCTCCGAGGGTCTACAGTGAAGACCTAACACCATGTGGCACGCTTGAAGGGCACCAGCCAGGCAGCCTGCAGGGCCAGTGAGTGGGGTGGTCCCTGGGTTCCTAAGGCCTTCAGATTCATGGATGTGCAGCAGGTCCTAAACTAGTGACAAGATGTTAGTCCTGAGGGTCAGGCTAGAGCTTTCTTCTAAGTAAAGGTATGGAATCCCAGTAGAAAACGGAGCTTGTGTGTTTAATTCCATGCTTTGAACTAGGAAAAATTTTAATCCCCAAAACTATGAAATCATGTGTACATGTGTAAGTATAAAAATCCCAGATACAACCATAACCTTTTGTTCTCCAGTCCCCCTCTCTGCAAATATGACTATATACATGCACCCCATACACAGCCTGAGAAGCATTGGGTGTGGGTGTTTTTTGTTTTCCCTTTGCCAGTTATATATTCACGGAAAAGGAAATGACAACCCATTCCAGTATTCTTGCCTGGGAAATTTCATGGACAGAGGAGCCTGGCGGACTACAGTCCATGGTGTTGCAGAGAGTCAGACATGACTGAAGCAACTAAGCATGCGTGTAATTATATATTATTCACTTGAATGTCTTATGGCAGGTAGCAGACTTTAAGGGTTTAACATAGAAACTTATTTTTCTCCTGATAGTTGAGAAGAGGCCATGTTATGCCATTTTAGCAGAGGAATACCTGTGTTCACTGGTGATGATTCCAAAACACTGGTGTTGTGTAGAGGAGGCAACAGAAAATTCAGAGCACATTTCTGGTACTATTTTTCTTGGTGGAGAAACCCCCTAATTATTCCTAAAGGCATTACATGTAGTACCATCCAATCTTTTGGTAAATATAGGCAGGTTTTCTTGGCCTTCACATGGCATAGCTGCTTTGTAAATTATTCACAGCAAATATGTATGTGGTCTTGGAATCAGACCTTCCTTCCTGTCTCCATCATGTGTCTGCACCTCTTCCTGGCCTCCCTCCCTGCTTCCTCACCTGTAAAGCTGGCAAGACCAGAGTGCCTGCCTCAGAGGGCAAAACCTCTCATCTCAATAGATACAGAAACAGCATGAAGCATTTGACAGAGATCATGTATAAAGTGTTGAGAATAGCGGTAGGCACAAAGTAAGCTCTCATTAAATGTTAATAATTACTATGAATAATATAAGCCTTAAGCTGACTCATCTGTTATTAAAATCTTTTTTGGAAGACAAAATTGTTAAGAAATTACTGCCAAGTCCGAGTGCCAAGGGTGGGAGTCAGCCCCAGTTTTAGGCATCAGTGCCATAGTTTTCTCTCTAAGCTCAGAATGTGAAAGAGGTCTGGTTGGACAGCTGTTAGTGAGGCAAATCCCTGCTTTCGCCTTCCTTCTTGATCACATCTAACAGCAAAATCCCTGTTTCAGGTGATCTGGGGGTGCACAGTGGGGAAGAACTCCAGCTCACCACCACTATCACCCACGTGGACGGGCCCACTGAGATCTACAAGTTGACCCGCAAGGAGGCCCAGGAGTAGGAGGATGCAGCCCCCAACTGGGACTGTCCGCCACATCCCAGCCGTTTTGACTGGAACGGGGAGCATGCCAGAGAGCTCCACATGCCAACGAATGCTCTGTCTCTTAGCTGTGGTTTCTTGGACCAATGGTGTGGACATTTGTCAGCTTGCTTTCCGACAAGTAGTTCTCGGAGGAAGACTCCTGCAGCCACTAATGTGTTGTGTATGACACATTTTCTGTGATCATTGTTGATTAGTGACATAGTAACATCTGTAGCAGGTGGTTAGTAAACCTCATGTGTTGGGGGTGCACTCTTTGGGGGATGGTTTGGGCCAGATGGGGTCTATATGGAGTGGAATATTTGACTTTTTTTTTTTCTTGTTTTAGGTTCTAGGATAGAATTTAACATTCTTTGCAGTCCAAGATGGGCTGGTGTCATAGTCTTCTCACTCCTAATCCATGACCACATTTTTCCCTATTTATATCACCAGGTAGCCTATCGAGTTAATATTTAATTTGTCAATTGATATGTGTCCCTATTTTTTAAGGCATAGTCTAAAATAACCGAATTTCATGAGAAGATCTATTACACCAGGGGCATTTCAGCTTTGAAACCAAATCTGTGTATCCAATACTAACCAGTCTGTTGGATGTGGGTTTTTAAAAAAATGTTTGCTAAACTATCCAAGTAGGATTTATTGTATTAAATGGCCTTTGGGTCTAAAAAACTTTTTTAACCTCTTGCTTAAAATGTGTTTTCTTTTGATAAGATGCTTCAAACAGCCTCCAAAAGTGTAGATCTGATCATTTAAATAAACCTGTATGTATATGCATGTATGTATACGCACACCTCGTCCTCATGCTCAGCCGGAACACATGCATGCAGATTCTTTTTTCGAGTTGTGTCTCTGGGGTGGGGGGAAATAGCTTTATGAAAAATTAAAATATTTTGCCATCAAAGTTTTGGGGGCAGTATATATTTCTGGAAATAGGGTAACATTTTCTGTACTGCATGGTTAACCTCCACTGGATGGCATGTGTGGCACCAAGTGTGTGTGTGGAGGGGGGGAAGGTAAATGATTTAGAAGTAGACTATGACTTCTCTACTATGCCAAATTCCCCACGTAGGCTGTTTCATTGCACTTTAACTCTGCCATTGGACAGGCAGTGTAGTACAGAGAAAGAATAGTGGGTGGGAGGTGAGAAGGCAGCATTTCCTAGCAGAGGTCTGACATTTATTACATAGCGTGACCTTGTTAAAGCCACCTGACCTGGCTGTTCCCTCACATGCAAACTGCCATTCATGAACTTTTAACTGCTTCACGGGTTGGCAGTGCAAATTAGATCAGTTAATGTGTATGGAAATGCATTTTAAACTCTGAAACTGTGTGAATATGTTCTTTCTGGAGTCGAAAGACAATTTCATGAGTGCCCTGTTTTTCAGACATTGATGCCTGGAGGTTTGGGACACAATCCACTTGATTTACCCACTCAGCACTCCTTCTCTATCCTTTCTTTTCCCTGATTTTGGCGAAAGCCATGGTAAATAGTGATGGGAGGAAATATTTTGGTTTTGGCTGTTCTCTCAGGCCTTTTCCTGTCCTGGTAAACATTTGATCATGTCTGATCCAGTGCACTCAGCATCCACTTCTGATTGATCACTGTGGTGCCAGGCTTTAAATGTAGCCCATGTCTCATAGTCTGAAAGGGAAGACAAACTTCAAATACGACAAGTAATCTCATGCCTCAGAGGATGGAGGCAGAATTTCTCCAAGGAGATCAGAAAAGGGCCTGAGATAGGTCTTGAAGAAGAAGTAAGATTTTACCAGGGCTGAAGGACAAAAGGAACAGCAGTACAAAAATCAGAGAGGAAGCGAAGAATGGAGAATGTTTAGATAAGGCTGGTCATCAGGCCTGGCTGGCATATAGAAGGAGTGGAAATAGCAGAAGGTAAGCCCCATGCATCTGTGAGCCAGAATGAGAAGGGTCCTTAATGCTGTGGGAAGAGTTATCAGACTCAGCGTAGGGTTTTATGTGGAGAAGTGATATGATCAGAATTACTGCTGGAGCAACAGAGAGGCTGGACAAGCCCAGGAAAAAGATCACAAAGGCTGAAACCAGGGCGATAATAGAGGACATGGAGAAGAGCAGATTCATTTTGGAGATAGAAATGGCAAGGTTTGGGCATTCTGAATGTGGACATGAAAAGCAACAGCTGAGTCAAATGTCAAGCCCTTCTAGACGAGAGAATGGTATGGCCCTTTATGGATTCCTGGAGGAGCAGCATCAGTGAATCTATCACCTAAGGGTCTGTATCAATACTAGACGTCAAATCTAGCAAGCTTACCTAAAAGAGAGACTTTAGCAGAACTTTCCAAGAGCACCAATACCAGTAATTCATGGACCTTTGCACTAAAACAGTACCATTTACTAGCTGTCTGTCGCTCTAACTTCTGAACTAGGGTAGGTGCATGAGTGGCCCAGTCTTAGGCAAGTGGCTGCCCCTTGCTGATCAACTGTGATCAGGAAACCAAGTCCAGTGGCCGCTAGCAGATTACCCTGTGGATTGGGGTCGGTTTCTGAAGAATGGAGAGTCCATTTTGAGCTGACACACAGTCGGAAAAGATGTACTACAGTGGGCCAGATGAGAAGTGTGGATTTGTTTGGGCTGGGTTTTAAAAGCCGTCTTCTGGAAGAAATGACAAGCTAACAGAAGCAAGAGGAGAAGCAAACCATCAGGGCAGGGGGCTTTGCCGCCATCACTGAGAATGAAGTTGGGCTTGGCAGAGCATCAAAACATCACATCAATACGGTGAACCAGGCACGGCCATGTTCAGGAGGTGACAGGAGGTGACAGGTGGGTGACTCACAGCCATGCAGAGTATCAAAGAAGCCAAAGAAAGAACCAGATTCAAGGCGGAGGGTAGGGGGGTGGGAGGAGTTAGATACCCTGAGAAACTCAACAGTGTTTAAACATTGAATGAGGCATGTTGGATTCGGCATTGATGTGCGGGACCTCCTGGCAAGCGCAGAAATTAGATGTAGAATAAGGTCAGTGAGTGCTCGTGATGGGAAGATAAGAGGTAGGATGGTGGCTCCAAGAGAAACCAGAGTCTGGGGAGAGAATGGGACTGGATTTGTAGACGTTGAGGGCGAGAGTCAGCCATGAAGTCAAGATGATGAAGAAGTAGCTTAAGCCCCAAGGAAGGTCAGAGACTTGGGATAAAGGACAGAAGCTGATGAGTTAGTTTTGACAGAGTGAAAGGTCACTTTTATCCAGAGACAGGAGAGAAGTAACCAATGGATGCCAGAGGAGAAACTTGAGGTCAAAAGAAGAGAAGTTGGCAACCTGTCCCTCTTTGTGTTCTGTTCTGTTTTTTCCTTGAACATGAAATGAGCTTGGAGTTGTCCTGAAGAATTTCTTGGTTTCATCAATGCAGGTAGAACACAATTGTTTCCAGTCAGTGGGAAGTTCAAGAAACTCTTCAAAAGGTGAGAAAAAGCCTTTAGTAAGGACTATCTACCCAGAGCAAAAATTAGTTATTGGTCATGTATATGTTTTAAGAATTGTCTTAAAATGTTTATGTAGTTTTGAAGAATATTATAGTAAGTGTAATGAGTTTAAAATTCGCCAACTGTCTGCTTTTTAAAAATAAGAAAACTTGCCATTATCTGCAACAAACAGGTAAAATACAATCGGTATTTCCCATAGAAAACAGTCAGTTTTATATTAACTTACTGGGTTCACCAGGTGTTAATCCCACATTTTCCCCTTAGGGGAAGAAAATGTCTATAATAATGAAATAAGTAGTTTCTTTCAAACCTCTAGGTAATTCTAATCATTTCTCAGAACCAAGATGATGCCTCAATTCTGATGCCTGAGAGCTCATGAAGCTTTTGGAAGTCGCACCCTGGGATCCCTGCAGGTACTTTGAGAAAGTCTACAAAAATGTTAGAAGGCAGGTTATGGGTCTCATCCTCATCTTAGCAGTTCCAGAAACTATATTGTCAGCTCTTTCAGACAGATCAAATTCTGGGAGGCTGCCTGGCCACACTGGGGCATGTCAATGAATGACAATTCCTATACAATCTTTTATAGGGACAAGTTTGCTATGTCTTCTGTCTCCATCATTCCAGACACATTCTACCTTGCTATTGTTGAGTAACCATGGAGGCTAAGAGAGGAAATACAGAGGGTTTTTTTGGTGGACAAACGATAAAAGTACGGAGGAATGAGTGCACTTGAAAGAAGTAACATCTCAACCACGATAAAGCCTGAGGGATCATCCCTGTTCCTCTAAAGGAAATACGCACAGCTCCCTGGAAAGTGCCTAACACCATGTGGGAATTCACCTGGGGAGGGTTGGTGGGTGAACCAGTGAACGCAGCTCAGCTCATCCCAGTCTCTCTAACTGCTGTGGACTCCTCCTTCCTTTGGTTCAATCAGACCCTGCTCCTTTCAGCCATTCAGCATCAGGATATGTTAATGCAGTAAATTAGGCTTAAGTGTGGATGCAGTCTGACTCGCTGAGTCTGTGCCTCACTCATAGAAGGTCCCATCATCCTTTCATGCTATGGGAATCCTTCTGACTTTGGCTGCTTGCTCTTACCCCATCACACTTTGCTTTGTGACTGATAAGTTGTACGGGGGTGACTTGGTTTCTGAGACTGTGTCAGCAATGCCTTTCTTCTCTCCTCACATCAGAGGGATCTTCTGGGCACTCCTTGAACCACCTACTGTCTGGGAGCCTCTTGTCTCAATGACCAGGCATTTGGCTTCAGAGGTTGAGAAGACCCATGTGTATGGAGACCAGACCCTCTTTGTGACTTTGCCTTTTTGTTCTGACTACTTCCTCCCACAAGTCCTGTCCTAGCCAGGACTTTTCTCCTTCAGGCTCGTGTCTCAGTTCCTCAGTCCCTCCCCCAGATGTGTTTTCCAGACCCTTGCCTCAGTGCCCTGTTAACTGCATTCTAGTTCCTCACTGTTCTAGGATATGATTATCAGACTGCAGCATTGCTT